CACCGGACCATTGTTGCCATGGCCAAGATGCACGATCACCAAGACTTTTACGTAGGTACTTTATATCACCATAAAATTATGGCTCTATCAAATCAGACTCCAAGACCAGATTCTGAGCAGCCAGTCAATTGCAATACACTTAAAAGCTGAATCAGGCATTGAATATTTCATGATATTTTCAAAATTTATTATCAAAATTTGTAACCCTTTGCCCTCTCAAAATTTAAGCATTACATGGGTGCACCCAGAGAGGTATACGCTATAGATGCTTTGCACCATACTGAACTGATTATGCTCCTATGTGTAACAGTAATAGTGTCCCTTAGGTAGGATAATACAGGTCCAATCACAGGGTAATACAGTTTCTTAGCTATAATACTGTTAAAAGGAAATCATTTGGACATCTCGAATATAGCACGGTACTGTACCCTTGACCGAACGCCGAGGCCTTATGTGTATCACCACCGAGCCTTCGACAATACACCCCGGGCTTTTGCTCTTCACCAATAAGCGGCTGGCACAGCAGCGGGCTGCAGAGTTCCCTATGCGGTGTTTGTGCCCTCATCCGGAGCCGTCATCCCTACAGTCAGAACTCACTCCGATGCCAGTACGGGGAGTTAGGGGAATGCAGGTTAGTTATGCTCACGTTCGTGTACCGGAACTGGTACCCTACAATTATCGGGCACCGGAACTCCTATGCGAGTGCTAGGGAGAGCCCGTGAACACTCCTGGTGGCTGATTGTTTTGATATGCAGCTAAGGATACTGATTGCGGGGGGAAGAAATTCCCCGAATGCTTTGCGATACCTAGTTTGTTGGAGATAATCTACGGTATGGTGGTTTGACCAATACTTCATGTAGTAAATAAATTTACCCCGGCGGCTCCTATTAGGTTTTCACGGGCCAAACAAGGAGGTTCTCACAGATTAGCACTCCTACCCGAGCAGAGTAGTATATTCCAGCAGACAGAACCCGCCTCACCTCCTCCGACCAATATGAACCGGGGTTTGCCGTAGGGTAGTGAAAGCCAAGTAGTCTCTTGCGATCATGGATGCGCGCGTTTCGGCGCTCAAGCTCTACAGAGCCCGATCTCGAAAACACATCGGTACAAGAGCCAGTCGCTGACTGACTCGCACACTACAGTACAGCACCCCCGGGTATTGTGGGTGGCTAATTTGCTGGCCACCGCGTCGATGGCCAAGATGCAGGATGACCATGAGGAACTCGAGTACAAGTACAGGAGGTGTCTTACAGTTCCCAACCCAAGTTAAGTCATATTTTCTGTAACTTATCATACCCTACTCACCTTTATCCTATATTATTTAGTTTTATCATTATTTTTTGGCCTTCATTCTTCTTGGGAGGTGTGTGCTGCGGGCGGTGGGAGAATCGCGAACAGGTGCAATGGTCGCCTTGCCTTGGAATCCGAATGTGGCTAGCTCGCATCTGTGACGGTAAATTACCGTAGTCGCTATTTGGTGAGATCTAATCCTGAGTGTATCGCTTTCTGCCCCCCAGCAAATTAAAGCCCGTGGGACCCGCTGTACAGTGCCGGCACTGTGGGAGTGAAAATGTGGTTGTTTTCTTTTCTTTTCTCTTTCTTGAGCTCTGGGTTTTGTATTCTTGAGCTAGGTTTGTTTGAGCTGTTAGGGTTTGGTTGTAACTGGCCATAAATGAGAGGCGAACCCAAGAAGATGTGGAGAAGAACTTGAGGAGACAACGAACAAAATGAAGTCAACAATGAATACAAAAGCATGTACCTACGTTTGATAAATTTTCTTTGGTTGTTCTTTCTTTTCTTTACATCGATTGACCTGTACGGACCTAATTTCGGAATACCTTTTCTTGTGTGAGGTATCGATTACCTGTTTGACTGGTAAGTGAGCGAAGCTTACCCGATCTGTGTGTTTGGTTTTCCAACCCCGACCCGTCCCTTTCAGTACTCGTACTCGTTGCCATAGGGATACCGGTTCAATACAGTTGAATTGAGTCGGCACTAGAAAAGGGAGAGCGGGGTTTACACTAGAGGTATCAGTATCGCCATTCGCCCCCCACAACCAATCAGGAGCCTAGTTTTGCTCGTGCTTGTACTGTACCGTACTTGTGGTGGGTTCTAGAGGACAACTGTATTCATGTAACGTGAAGTTCTAAGCCCAAAGATATTGATAGCAAAAATATTTTTTAGGCTAGGGAATCTAACTGACCCCGCATTGTAAATACGGCCGGTTCTGAAAAGTTTGTCTGCACAGTGATATCACAAAATAATCGGCCCTGCTACCCATACTGTACTCGTACCGTAAATTTGCTACTGTTAGTGTAGAACTCCCCCGCTGGAATACCCCGCATCGGTGTTTGGTTTTCCAACAAAAAACTACCCCACCTCTTCACACCTCTCATAAAGTATCATGATTGTTGTAGAAGGTTGCTCGCAAAACAAACCCCCATACCGTCATATACTAGCAGGATAATATTTTCACCTAATTTACTTGGTCCTTTCACGAACCAGGTGGCGTCGTACTATACTCGAGTGCACCCTTGCAGCCCGCCAACTCACCGATGGCGTAGCCCGAGTGGTGTGTAAAAGTGAGAAACACTAGTGCGCAACAACAAAACGAAAGGCTACATGCAGTCTCCGCAAGTGAACTTATTGAGATGGTCTTCTCCTCGTTTCATGTTATCCACATACGGCAAGGAGGGAGTCACATGTGCCGTAATAAGGATCAAAAATACCCTCCATCATCGTTAGCCCCCCTGCTAGAGATTCTGCGGGGCCCGAAAGCTCACCGATCCGGGGTTGTAGGAGTGGGCGCATTGTCAATCTTCGGCGAACGAAGAACTTTATGCATGCAGATAGGCAACGAAAAAGTGGTTGGTCGGTGGGTGTAGCCTCGCTGATTGCGCGTGTTTTTGCGACGGTGTTCCCTCTCTCTGCGCATGCGGGGGAGTTGGGAGAACTGGAGTGGAAAATGTGTAGTTTTCGAGGTGACCACGATATTCACATCTTGATAAATACTGTAGCAACCAACGCTAAAAGCTACCTTTCTTCTTCCTCTCCCATCTCTATCTGATCGTCCAGAGCCACTTCTATTTACCTCCTCCCGCACTACCCTGCAAACCATACTACTAAATGTCATCAAATAGAGGCCCCAGTACCCGGGCTCGGAGTGGCGGGGCGACATCGGAGTCTGGTGACACGGGCCAAGAACAGGGAGCCGGCGCAGGGAGCCAGGGAAAAGATGGCCCGGGCGTCTCTAATGGGGGGGGGCACAGGTGGCCAAAAACCAGCAGCAGGAGAGGAAGGGAAAAATGCGACCAAGTCATCTGAGGAGCTCCCTACCGCCAAAGAGATTGGCGCAAAACTCATCGCGGTGATAAAAGAAGACAGAAAGAGCCTGAAGAATTTGTATGGAACCACAGACCAGGAGTTGGATGAAAACTTGAAGGACCCAATTAAGAAAGGAGTGGAAATGGCGGGAAAGTTGATTACCGAAAAGGGCTGCAGTTATGAGATCGCGATAGATTTAACTGCGCTAACACTTTATAATGTGGCCGTCTTAATTGGTATGTTCCGACTCTAGAACTCACTCGGTAGGGTTTGCTTTGCTTATCGTTGGTTGCATGAATAGATGACTCTGGCTCTATGATCTCTGAGGAAAATGGTGAGAGGAAGAATACCTTAATACAATATGTCGACAGCATTACCGAAATTTGTTCGATGGCAAATGATTGCGGTATCGCTGCGATGCGTTTCATGAACAGTAAGAAAGGCAAAAGAAACTGGAGGGCGGACTCATCGCAAGGGTATCTAGATGAACACTTGTATGGCGGTGTGACAAGGATCGGAACGGAACTTCAAAGCAAGATTCTGGATGTACTCGCGCCCAAAGCACCCAGTCAGAAGAATCCCGAGCAGAAAAGACCCCTCCTGGTGCTAACTGTCACCGATGGCGCTGTATGCTTCCTCCTAAAATTTCTAAAGCTGTATAATAACTCTCTAAAAAAACAGGTTGAGGGTGAGCGGAAAGGCCATCTGAAAAGTATCATTCGGGACTGCGTGAACGAGCGTCAAGAAGCTGGTAAAGGGTTCGAAGGTTAGTCGGTCGTGGTGCCCGCACGATACACCTTTCTCCAGTACTTACAAAGGGTTCACAGCCGTGACATTCCAATTCTCACGCATCGGAAACGACCCCGGCGCAACCCAGCTTCTAGAAGAACTAGACAACGACGTGGACCTCGGAAAATACATCGACATTCTGCCAGTTGAGTGCGATCTCAGACGCCAGCTCGCAGAAGATAGGTGGTTTGTGGTATGTCAGAATCCCGCCCCCCAACCCGATTGATTTGAAACGGAAGCCCGACTAACTTCATATTCCCACTGAAATAATAGCTACCGAAGATCTTGCTCGGTGCAATTTTACCTGATGTAAAAAGCCCACACCCCAAATCTCTAGACCAACAGTCGGCTAACAATCGGGCGCAGTGGGACGGGCAGGATTACTACCAAATTGCGAGTGAGAAGATACGGGACCACATCGCTGAGATGAAGGTGGATGGCAATGTTGAATCCGATGAAGACTGGGATGAGTGACAAACAATGCCCAGGTCCAATGCGGTTGCCGTCGGGGCCTCCTCTTAGTGAATGTTTTTCAAATTTAAATTCAGTAGGCCCGTTATCGTTTATTTGTTTCTTAGGGTTTGGTTTTCGTGGGATTTTTCCTTTTTAACGGCTACTTCCGGGGGATGGGGTGCCTTGAGGGGAGCTCGATTACCTCCCTGTATGAGCGCAGGGGGATACGCCGGAACGATGATAAAAACTTGGATGGCATCCGGGCTGGCTATCGGTAGTTAGTGGAATGCAATCTTTCTGGTTGGCCTTCGCATACCCCGCAGCACATGCGGATCTAGTAAAAGTGAAAGTCCCTAGCAATATCTTTTAAAAATCGAGAATATAAGGAAGTTATTGCGAACTGCTTGCCTATCTCAGGGTTCTAGGGAGTCTTGCACAGTAATTTATCGTAACACGTGCCCACGCAAGAAGCTACATAATATTGCTGAACACTTTCACTTGATATCACTCGGTGTCCAAGCACTATGACATGTTGGATTAGCAGTTGATGGCCGCACTTGGTGCGAGATGTGCCCGCACAAAGAGGCTGTAGTGGTATACATATGCACTGCTGAAGGGCGCGTAAGCCATGAAAATTCTTCCGATCTCTCTCTTTTCTTCCCTTCTGTTCTCTCCCACGAGACAACCACTTCCTGTACTTTACCTTTCTCTTCAAGTTTTTCCTTTCTGTCATCTTATGATAATCAATCATGGTCTTTACCTTCGCCTAAGTTACCTCCGTAACAATCATTTTTCAACATGACATAATATCAGTAGATGACGTAGAATAGTGTTCCACTTGCGGTTGATGGATTGCATTAGAATGGGGTTGTTTAGAGGAGCGCAAGACCGGCAGTGGAAGTATGGGCTGATACCTGATCTAGCCCAAGAACCCACGATGTAGGTGTCCGTTCCCCCGTACCCCAAGAAAGAGCGCGAGTAAGTTGCGGACAAAATTCTCGGAGGAGTATCGTACTTGAGCAGTGAAAACAAGAGAGATTCTCGCCTCGGCGGCTAGCATCCAAAACAGTAAAAGTTGGAAACAAAAGGTCTTGGGGGATGGTGGGGACTGGGAGTAGCTACTTGGGATGATATTCTGACAGGAAAACTGATACGATACTGTCCTAAACAGGGACGAGGAATATGGATAGGACGCAGGTAACGGGTATCATCGGCAGTCTTAGATTAACGCCCTAGAAAATATTTCGATCAATTTCTACCATGAGTGCAACCCTTTTTCGGCAACCGCTCACATACCAAATTCAACACCATTTAGTTGCCATCACAATCCCAAACCACTCAGCCAGTACTCCACTAGGCCGCAGTCAAATATTGCTTGTGGTTGCTCACACGTAGAGTTTGTGTTGCACTATCGTGCACATGGATGTAAGGTATGATTTAGCTGAGCTGTGGGGATTCGGGAAAAGGATGTTACCCAATATTGATAAGGTTTTCTTATCCTCTCTGCCAATGGGAATTCGGCCCACCATGGCCCTCTATTACCCTGGTTTTGTTCCGGGCATTCTATCAATTCTCTTGGGGTCAAAATTTAAAATATATATATATATATATAATATCGTATTTCTCCATGACATAGGTAGTTTATGGTCCATGAGATACTCATTTCAATATCCTTTTTGAGACAAGTTGAGCCAGCACAGCATGAATCCCTGCCTCGACGCTTGGTGTGGTGGGGGTTGAAAGTTGCTCGATGATGTGGGATACTGGCATGCCTTATCCTCCAATAAACTTTATTAACCATATTGGCCCGATTCCGAATGTAAATACTTTACAGAACTCGCGTAACTGATGTTTGAATTTTAAGGTGGAAGTAGATCTCGGGAGCACTCTATCCTCCTATCAATTTTGCACAACTCCCGTTAATCCCGTGAAATTTCTCCTGGGCTAAAAATCTTATTCCCTTGGACATACTGCTCGAGTACTATTCCTATTTTTTTACCGCTTCAAAAATATTTTCACTCCTAAGATTAGTAAAGTCGTGTCGGGTGTTTTCATAGGCTGTGTCGGTAGCTACGGTATGTCGGGAGGCTGGGTACGCAGAGAGAGCAATTTTGAGTCCTGGTACAGAGGTCATGCTGGTTAACTTACCGGAGTAAGTGCTTGGTGGTTTAATATTTTCTTCGTTCCCAAATGCTTCCCACCCGCGTACTGTGCCCAGGTTCCCGACATAGCTGCTGACGCGACATAGCGCCCGACACGACTTTAGGAGCGTTCAGGTTGGTCCTTTCCTGATCATTTTGGTAGGTCATTTTCAAACCTGCCCGGTGGTCTTTTTGGGCAAACAGAAAAAATCTGTTCCATTTATGATACTCTCTCTTGTCGGTTGACAAGTGGTCCTTTTTCTCTCTATATCAGACGACGAGTGGTATTTCTAGTACGCAAGTTGGAGGCGCACACTACTCATACCTAGAGCAATTATCCAACAGAAGAAATGCTCACTGCCAGTACTGGTACATGCTATCATAATTCTCCTATAAGTTTTCCCTACCCTTCGATAGCCCTCTCCATAAACAGGCCATCAAGGTGACACTCACAAGGACTGACTTCCCCAAGCGCCCCTGGTCGCACCATTATCCTCGGTAGTTGACACAAGCACAGAAAAAAAAAGTAACACATTTTTTCTGCAGTTTCCCATGGTATTAGTGGCTTGTTCCGGTATTATGAAGTTACTATCTTCATGTGGGCAAGGCCCAAGTGTGCGCCAATGGCCGACGGTGGTAGTACAGCACAGTATTTTACCCGTTGCGCGTTGTCATGGATCTCATTTTAATTGTTCCTCCTGGCTATGGCAAATGGTGATTTTTTCATCTGAAGTTTTTTAATAATAGCACAGCCTGGTGGTTGACCTTGATAATATTACTCTTTCCCCCTGCAAATAAGGACAGTAGATTGCAGCGCTTGAGAAAAGCAGCAAAAGGAAAATGGCTTCTCGGTATCGCAGATGAGCCTATAGAGTGTAATTTCAAACAGGCACATGGCATAAAGAGCCAGTCTGTCGACTGACGTGTACGGTACAGTATTTGAGCACTGTACTGTAATGTACTATGGAGCGGGGTAGGTGGTGGCTGATTGGCTGGTTGGTAGCCGGCCAGATATAGACTAGTAGGTTGACAATAGGGCACCTGTTTCACTGCTTTGATGGAACGAATCACTTCAAGTCATATCCCCCCAACATATCATACAGCTCTTTATTGCTTTCCCATCACCAGGCTTTATCATCACCCGGTTTCAGTTTCTTTCTCTCCAAAAATATGTGTTATGGGGTAACTTATGGGGAAACTCCGAACAGATGCATAGATCAGCCATCACTAAAATCTAACTAAAGTTAGCCAGTAACTTGCCCGCGACAGTTTTGATCTTAAACATTTCATTTTCTACCCTCACCAACTCGGTACTGTACTGTAATGTAATTTCGAATCGTAACGAGGCCCAGGAAGCTTCCCGCATCTGCTGCCTCAAGTAGATTGAGTTCAGTTGACACCGAAAAGAGGGGAGTAGAGCAGCCAAATTCTTTGGTAGTGCAGCCTGCGCCGAACAGCATTGACTGCTGAAGTCGGCCATGCCAGAGCGCTCGGACACACGCGCGAGCAACAAACACACCGGCAACTGGGGGCAAAGTCTGAGTGGCGAGTCAACACAGCTGCGCAACTTCGAAACGAGGCGGTCCTCTCGATAGGTAAGACTATCCGGCTACGGTAGTCCCAATATTCTGTGCTCTCTACTATGATCAAAGAGAGTGCCACATATGGCACAACACGCAATAGAAACTGCTAGAAAAGGCCACCCCCCCACATTACAGATATTGCGGGGGTGTGAATTCCCACCAATTCGAGGCTGTGCTGATCAACGGATTTTCAGTCTCGGGCAAACAAAGAACCCTATGCATGTAGATATACTATGAGCCCTCTCTGGGCATGGATGGACGAGCTCGCATAAGCTCCAGTTCGATCAATCTCCGGATAAACAATGAAGGAGGCGCTCTGGAAGGAGGAAGGAGATATCTAGTTTCTAATAGCGTCTATTTTTACATCTTTATATATAGTAGTATCCTATGCAGGAAGCCACTTTTTAACTTTCTCATGGCTCTCTAATTGTTCAGAAAACTATCTATTTACCTCATCCCACAACATATTTCGCAATATCAGCAGCTATAGTCCAAGCAACTCAAGGCCCAGATAGGAAAGAGACGGTGGGGTTTGATAGCGCAAGACGCTGATAGGAAACTAACTAAAGATCTAGGAAAACAGTGGCTCTGACTACGCTTGCTAGGAAGATAGGCCCTACGGGAAAGAAGGGAAGATGCATCGCCTAGGGGAGCACCAGTAACTTACGGGAAACAAGATGGTAGACTCATTGTAGAAGACCAGTGCGTGGATCCCCCAGAGGTGTAAGTCCCTAATGGCAAAGAGATTAGCACAAGACTAAGTGATGTAATAATGAACGGCCGAGATGGTTTACAGGATATGTACTGTACTGTACAGTATGGGGACAAAAGGGATCGTCCGATGCCCTTTTCACACCAAAAATGGACATTTTTAAATGGACAATTCTCAACGCTGCTTATATGAAAGCACTTCATATCATTTCATCAGCTAGGGAATGACCATCTATTCCAACCTCTACAAGTAGAAGTGTAAGGAATCAAAGCTGTCTTCGTTGTTCATGATTGCACCAACCAGCACGAAAGTGACCTAAACCTCTGTATAGGGCTCCATACAAAAAAGTAGATGGCAACCGATACCAGAAACTTAAACAACCTTTTCTCCATCACTTTATAATATTTAAGAATTCTGTGATGTTTTTCATGTTTTCTACAGGTTTGCTAATGCATGGACAAAATTTGCATAGGTTCTGATAGACATTTCATGATGAGAGAGGGTGGTGAAGATGGGCACTTTTGGTGTAAAAAGGACATCGGACAATCCCTTTTGTCCTAGTACTTTATGATAAGACCGAAATTGAGTTGTGAGAAAACCTAAAGGCGCCAACTAGGAGTGGAGAATGGGGAAAAAGTTGATTTTGGATATGGGATGCAGCTACCCCATTGCGAAAGATTTAACTACGCTGACGTTCTATGATGTGGCTATCCTAATTGGTATGTTCCAGCGCCAGTGTACACCCCCCAAGATATGTGTTGCATATAGTTTGATGTGGATAGATGACTCCGATTCAATGATCTCCAAGGAAAGGGGCGAAGGGGAATATAGTCTAACATAATATGTCGACTGCATTGCGGAAATCTGTTCATATTCACGGGGCTCCGTTATCCTCGCTATGCGCTTTGTGGACTATGGGGGGCAGAAAGAAGAGGCGGGAGACTTCGCCTCATGAATATCTGGAAAGTCGCTAGTATGGTGGTCTGTTAAGGACTGGAACGGAACACAAGAAGAAGATTCCTGATACATTTGCCCCCAGAAACCCTAATCAGAGCAGGCCCCTACTGGTTCTGATTGACACTGCTGGCTTAATATGCCTTCCTCCTACAATCTCTAGCACCATATAATAACTATCGGAAAACAGCCCGAGAGCGAGAGGAAGGGCCACCTGAAAAGCGGCATCCATAATCGCGCGAACGGACGCGGAGAAGCTGGCAAAGGGATTGGGGGTTTGTCAGTCGCGGGATGTCGATATACTTTTACTCCTGTACTTACAAACGCCTCCCAGCTGTAACATTTCAATTCTCCCTCATCGGTAACAATCCCGGTGCAACTCAGCTATGGAAAGAACTGTACAACGATCGAGAATTCGGAACATACACCAACGTGCTACCGCTTGGATGGGATCTCGAATGCCAACTCGAGGAAGATAAGCGGTTTGTGGTATATTCGTATTCCTCTTTGGAAAATAGCTTCCGAAGATCTTACTTAGTGCAATTTTACCCAAGGTAAAGTTTCTTACCTCAACTCTAGCTCAGGACTCCGTTGACCGTGGAGCACAGTGGGTTCGGCAGGATTACTACGACAATACCGAGCAAGACTACCTCGCCAAGAGGGTTTATGTCGAGGAAAGTGATTCCGGTGACGACTGGGAGGATTAAAATTAACTTGAATAGATTTCTGGTATCTTGAACTGATATTTCCCAAATTTAAATTAAGTTTAGTTGCCAGCCTTTGGCTTTTACGGTTTTTTTTTCCCCTTTATGATATACAGTCGCACCTCGCTATCCCGGACGGCCAAAATCCAAAGAATTTGTCCGGGACAGTGAGGGATCCGGGACAGCGGGGTGTGACGTATGCTGCGGGTCAGGAAGGAGGGTAGGAATTTCTGAGGGGACATTCATTTACCCTTTAGTACAGGAATAAGTATTGAGGGAAGAGAATAAAAACTTGGTTTTTGATTTTCCAGATCTAAAATGCTAAGTTTTTACCGACGATTCGGTAAACGAGAGGTGTAGTGAAAATGGAGGTTCAGACCTTACCCCGAAAACGAAGAACTATCACATATCGTCCCATAACCCCGACAGTCCTAGACAGTGATTTGGAGTAATACTACCAACCAAAGCGAAGGGCACACTGTTGCTATGAACTTTCACGTTATATCACTTGGCGCTACTGTTCACCTCTTGAAATCCGGTCAATTCTTATAACATCCCATATTACTCTGTCAACAGAACCACAGCAATAACAATCAATATATGCAGAATTCCTAGCCCAAGACAGCCTTCGTTATTCCCACAATTCAACATCCCCCCAGCGCTCGTACCTACAATTCCTGCCATTAAAGCGTTCAACCATTTTTTCTCTATGTTTTTAACCTTTTCGTGCCCCTGATAACTCCCATAACAACCACCACGCCAGAGCCAACCATCCCTAAGCACGCAAAAATAGCAACCCCTCTCACTAACTTCAATCCTCTTGTGGTCGTCTACAGACTCAAAATAGCAGCCCAATTGGGATCAATGGATTTTATCTACTTAGGGAAGGTTAAAGGACTGTAAGACCAACCAGTGGGCACATAACTTATATTATTAAATGATGTGACAGGAAAACCAGTGGTGTAGTTATCCACTCCAGCCTACTCGTAGAAAGGGTGAGTTCGGATTGCGGACAAATACGTGCCCCGCTTCCCTTTCTAGATTCGCCGGTTGAGGTCGTTATGGGTAGGAGGTGTTTATGATTGAGGGGTTTTGTCTACCCGAGTAGGGTAGATTTGGAGAACGGGAGGCTACAAAATTGGCCTGTACAGTACGCTAGGAGAAAAAAGTTGAGGTTGATTTCTTTCGTGGATGGGGCGAGATAGGCTTAGGCACCCACGTAGAGTCCAACTAGAAGCCTTCTTAGTCCACCTACCTGCCTTTGCTCCTTTTTTTTCGGTGGGGGGCGTTCGCGGCTACCGCCCTATCCCAAGTGCCGCCACTTGTACTCGAGTACTCTCAGGGATATGAAGGAGAAAAGTTAATTGGATTAGCCATGAATAAAGGAACCGGTGGTTTATTCTGTATACTAAGGCAAAGACACAAATTAGCATCATCATTAAAGCTAGTGGGCGAGTTAATCCGTGAACACAGCCATGTTGGTCAAAGAGGGGCTAGCCAACCAAAGATGCATAATTCGGGTTGCACACGGGCGATTTGGGAACCAGATCGGAGTTCGACAGTCCCAGAGTACCGGTAAGCATACACACATCCGCGTACAACAGCGGAACAAGACATGTGTCTCCAGACAACTTGTAGATCTCCCCAGGTACAGTACCCCCCTTCCCCTACTCTCGCCCTCTTCACCCCGGGCAAGGAGAGCATCACGTGCGCCGTAACAAGAATCGAAACACCTGCATAATTGCTCGCCCCCATACTAGAGCTTTTGCGGAGACTCAATTACCAGTACTGCGCACGTACTCTAGTACCGTACTCTCTAATCCCAGGTTGAGGGAGTGGGTGGATTTTCGATTGTTGCCAAACGAAGACTATGCAGGCAGGCAGAACACGAACGAATAGCTATCAGGCTAGAGAGCTAGTAGTATCCCTTGCTCCTCATGTTTCTACCATAACATTCGCTGTGCCCATGAACGGGCAAGCTCGTATGCGGAAAGCTCAGGTCCAACCAATCAGCCACGTATCCACAACGGAGCAGGAAAACCCGAGCCGGAACGAGAGTGGGGGGAGAATGGTAATGGTTGGAAAGGAAAATACGTAGTTCCTAAGATGACCACTACTTTCTCATCCTCATATACACCGCAGTAACTCCGCCGGAACATACTTTTCTACTTGGTAATCTGGCACCGGTCATAGAGGAGCATCCCCATTTACCTCCTCCAGCATCTTCTGCAAACCATACTCCAAAATATCAGCAACCACAGCCCTAGTAACTGCCAGGTCCGGGTGGGAAAGAGACGATCGTGTTTGATAGCACAAAACACTAACAGGAAACCAACCCAGAGAGCCAGGGGAGAAACTTCCCGGGCCACACCAGCTAGGAAGATAATCTCGTTCGAAAGGAAAGAATATATGGGCGACCAAAAGAAGGGAGTCCCTGACGCCCATGAGGTTGGCGCAAAACTCAGGCAGGTGATAACGGATGACCGGACGGGCTTGCAAGAAATCTATGGCAAGACAGAGGCGGAGCTGAATAAAAGTTTGGAGGTGCCAACTAGAACGGGAGAGGAAATGGCGAGAAAGTTGATTAGGGAGATGGAATGCAGTTACGAGATTGCAATAGATTTAACTGTGCTAACGCTTTATGATCTGGCTGTACTAATCGGTATACCCCAACCCCAATAGTTGCTCCTTGGAATTTTTTTTGCTCATAGTTGGATGGATGGATAGATGACTCTGGTTCCATGATCTGCGAAGAAAATGGCGCGAGGAAAGAGACCCTAATACAATACGTCGACTGCATCACGGAAATTTATACGATGGCAAATGAATCCGGCATCCTTGCTATGCGCTTCATGAACAGTCGGGGAGAGAAAAGAAACTGGACCGGGAAGTCGCGGGAATATCTGGATCTGCACAGCTATCGAGGTGCAGCAAGGATAGGAACGGAGCTTAAAAGGAAGATTCTGGACAAATTCGTGATTGGAAATCCCAATCAGATAAAACCCTTACTAGTGATAACTATCACTGGCGGCATAGTATTCCTCCTTCTTAAGATCACTAAGGCTATATAATAACCATCGGGGATAGATTTCGGGTGAGAGGAGAGGCCTTTTGAGAAATGTCATCAGGGATTGTGTGAATGAGCGTGTTGGAGCGGGCAAAGGGTTCGACGGTTAGTCGGTCGCGGGTTCTTAATCTACTGTCACTCCAATACTTAAAAGGACCCCCAGCCGCGACATTCCAATTCTCGAAAATCGGAACCGATACCGGCGGAACTCAGCTATTAGGACAACTAGACCAAGACCAAGACCTCGGACAATACATCGACATGTTGCCGCTCGAACCCGATTTTGGACGTCAGCTTGCAGAAGATAAGTGGTTTGTGGTATGTCATAATCCTCCCTTCCCCAAGCTCATTTATCCGAAATGGAAGCCCCACTGACTTGGTATTGCCTTCTGGAAAATAGTTGCCGAAGATCTTGCTTGGTGCAATTTTACCTGATGTAAGGCTTCCCCATCCAACCCCTATCCCAGCAAAATTCGTTAATAATGGAACGCAGTGGGATCGCCAAGATTGCTACGGCCATTGCTATGCCATCACAGAGGACCACCTCGCCGTAGATGTTGAGGGTAGCGCGGGAGATGATTCTGGAGAAGACTGGGCCGAGTGATAAATCTTGCCCAGATTCGATGTAGACGCTGTTAGTGCCGCATCTTGAGTGAATTTTTTCAAGTTTAAAAGTTGGAGAGTTCTGACCCAGTTGCCAGCCTTTGGTTTTACTAGATTTTCTTACGTTTTATAGAATGTTATACCGGGAAGACAGGGGGCCCTGAAGGACGCGCATTTACTCCCTTGTAAGGACTTAGGCTTGAGGTTGGAAGGGAAATGAAAAACACGATTCTGTTTCGTACCTAAAGTGTTCACAAGTTTCTACCTATGATATGGCGCAAACTATATTAGCAAAAACGAAGCTCTGGCATTATTCCGAATGGGGAGATCAACCTAATCAGCGCTCTGGGTTGAATACGATGGGCGAGCCCTGGTCTCGTGCCTAAACTAATCCACTGGACCTAACAAAAGGGGGAAAAAAAATCTAATCGGAGTTAATGGATTGTATCTAACAGTGAGGAAGTTAGTAGGCCAAAATACCAGGGGATTGTCAGACATGATCGAACGACGTGGTGAGAGAATCAACGGTATGAGCATCCGCTCCAGCGTACTCATCGAAGTGAAAGAAGGAGATTCCTATCAATAACGCTGGCGAGACTAACTTATCCCGGTAATTCGGACAGAACCCACTGCCAATTGTACCACTTCTGCGGCCTTATAGCGCTTCCATGTAAGCGCCCGACTCCCGTTGTTATTCATTAAATAACCTCCTGTTCATAGCCCATCACCGGTTTATCTACCCTGATGACTAGCGAGATTGGAATTCTCCCTACCGCCAGGATAGCTCATCGATCAAGTAGGCCACCAGACGGTTAGGATGGAACGTATCTCCCCAAGATTTCACCTTCTCACGCCACCCTAGCTAGCAACCCCTGGGCAGAAAATCTACAATCGGCACCCCCCTACCCCAATCTCTGCGCAGATATCCCTACTTTTTTTTGCGCCGTTGATGTCCTCCTGTTAACCCGAGATCTTCACCAGAGATAGTTTCATCTGTCCGTGAATTTCTTGCTAAGATGTGATATAGAGAAAACATTTATTACAAGCGATTGACACACTTGAACTACCTATATCCCTAGTCCCGTGATATCCGAGGGGGATAAAAAGAGGTAAATACTTTATCGGTATATGGGAGGGAATAGAAAACTGGAAATGGAGAAAAAAAAGTTTATCGAACCTTCTCGGTCCGCCCGAGCAGAGCGGGAGAATCCGCGACCAGACTGATCGCGAACGAGTATTGTAAAGTACAGTACCGTAGTTAGTTGTCGGGTTTAGTACCCGGGTACAGTACCGGTACCAAGGTTAGTCCGTGAACAGAGCTCCAGAAAAGTGGAAACAAGTCCATAGGCCATATGCACATGCAGGGGTATATAAATTTTATGTTAAAAGAGAAGAAATTCCGTGAACGCTTCAAGGATGATAATTGGTAAATTTCGACTTTCTAAGCTGCTAACTTAACCGGCTGAGCCCGAATTTTCAGTTATTGAGCTTGTTGCCAGTCACTGCATCGATATTCACGGATTTTTATCCCTGCCCCGAGTATCCCTGTCTACGCATGTTTCTACTACAGAGCTCTCCCTCTCAGTATACCTGTGTACGAACTCGAACAAGCCCTAGTTCAAGCAACCGATCACAAGCTAACACCGGAGGATACACGAAGGGCGGAGAGGAGAATTGAGAGGGAACCTAAGGGGAAGGCATGGAGCCTCCAGAATAACCATTATCCGCATCTTCGTATACCCGATTATATCGTAGCGATACACGCTGGAGGCCACCTCTGTGCCCGAACATCCCCCTCCGCCGCCAAGAGCCATCTCTATCGACCTTCTCCCACGCCATCTCTGCAAAACAGACCACAAAATACCAACAACCGCAGTCCCCATAACTCAAGACCCAAGCAGGGATGATAAATTGGGCTCCACAGTTCCAAACAGTAACAGCAAACCAACCTGGAGAGAATTTGGGGAGTAGTAGCTCGGGCTACCCTGACTAGGAATATAGGCCTGTGGGAAAGAAGGGAATATGGGCGATCAAATAACGGTAGCCCCTAGCGCTGAAGGAACCGGCGCACGTCTCAAGGATGTGGTAATGAAGCGCAGAATGGGCTTACAAAATATTTGTGGCCTAACAGAAGAGGAGTTGAATAAAATCCTAGGGATGCCAATTAAAAGGGAAGAGGAAATTGCCAGAAAGTTGGTTGGGGAGACGGGATGCTGTTATGGGGATACCAGGGATTTAACTGCGCTGATCGGGCCATCCTAGCTGGTGTTTTTCTGGTTCCCGTATGCTTAGAAAGGGCTCGCAGCCGTAGCATTCCAGCTCTCAAAAATTGGAAATGATCGCGGTGCAGCTCAGCTATTTGAAGAGCCACACAAGGACCCAGACCTCAGAGAATACACCGACGTGCTGCCAACCAAACTCTATCCCGATCACCAGCTAGAAGATAAATGGTTCGTGGTATGCCATACTCTTCCCTTCTCGAGGCTCATTGATTCGGAACGGAAGCCCTACTAACTGTGTGTTTTTTGTTGGAAAATAGTTACCAAACATCTTGATTGGCGCAATTTTACCGGATATCGGACTCCCCACCCAACTCACTAGCTCAGCAGAATATGACTCCTGTCAATCCATGACAAAGGACTTTCTCGCTATGGAGGCCTTGGGTGGCGTGAAGAATTATTAGGGAGAAAGCGGGGAGGATTAATAATACCCATGTTCGATGCAGAGGCTGCTAGTACCGTACCTTGAGTGAACGTCTTTCAATTTTAAAGGCAGGAGAGTTCCATTTTTGTTGTCAATCTTTGATTCCTACAGTATTGGTACTTCCCCCCTTCTATAGACTATAGCCCCGGGGGGTAGGAAGTTCCAATGGGGACACTCATTTACTCTTTCGTACAGACTTTAGGATAGACACTGGCAAGAAAATAATTGCTCGAACTCTATTTTTTTTTCCTTGCACCATATATAAAGTGCTCGCAATCTTCTACCTCTAATTCGGCATAAATAGACGCGGTCGGGGTGGAAACTTCGGTTTTGTTCCTGCAGAGGTGATTACCGTATGCCACCTCAGAATTTCCGATAGTCTAAGGCAGAAATATACAGTACCATTACCACGCCCCAAAGAAAATAACATAATGATTCTAGGCATTTTCACATAGCATTAATCCATGTCCCGGTAAATATACACACCTATGATCTCCTGGAAGAATTGTGGCAGCAGTCAAATGGGGGCAAAGGCCTTGAACCTGACAAGAGGAAGGATGTTTTTGCCAATAAACTTGTAACACCTCCCTATCCCAGTGCTTGTGATAGAGTGTGCTATCCATTATGCCGCTTCCACAGCCGTATAGTGTTGCCCATGCCAGAGTCCGATTCCGCATATTCCTTGAAAATTTTCCTGTTCATACCTGATCACTCGCTCCTTTCCCTTGGGTCTTCCTTAATGACTAGATAGACCGGAATCTACTATACTCTTGAGATCAAGTAGGCCACCCGAGGGCTGGGATGGGAGATACTTACGCCTGGATATCAGCTCATCCCCTACTAACCAGCAATCCCAAGGCAGAAAATCCGCCATAGGGACATCAGGCCAATCCATCAGTATTCACTGTTCAATTTCCACACAGAAACGCTCCAGACGACCACCCCAACTCCCCGCAAAAAGAAAAAGTAACCCTGGAAGCTAGTAATACACAAATCGGCAGCCAGGGACCTTAGCGTTACTTCCCCTGCAACTCTCGGCGAAAATCCTGACTGGCACACCCACACTATAGCATTTCTTACCCGCCAATATAACCCACGCCCGAGCCGGGCTTAACCAGATCTAGTTCGTTTTCTTGACCCAAGGGTATAATAAGGGAGCTATATATGGCCCCCTAAAGGGTGGGATGGGTGCCCAGGAGCTAGTATTGGGAAATGGAGAAGTTACAGAGGAGGGTGATGGAACGGCTAAAGGACGCAGGGCGCAAGTGAAAACACCGTGAACGAAACACACTAAACGGGAGACAGACCACAGGCCGACAATCGATAGAGAGGGTAGCTAAGAACTGAGCGCGGGATATTTATATCTTTGAATATCTAACCACTCCGAAACCTGAAGACGCCTCCAAGAAACAAAACACGACGAACCCTACGACAACAAACGCCCCAGAAACGTCGTGATCCCCCGTGATCCCGAATAAGCCAGAACCGCTCTAGTCCCTGAAGGCCCATGCCTTATGCCCTCGGCCAGTAGCAAAACAGGACAAACTTCCCGATGCCAATTAGCATTCGGGGCGAATGGAACAAAAAACCCAGAACCCAATCCCAAACCCCTACCCGCCTGACAAGGTGCCCAATAGTTAACTCGAAGAAGGAAAGGACCTGTTATTCTGCCTGCCTACCGGTATCATACCTTCCATCCTGCCCCGGGTGTTGTCGACATGTACTCTCTATACACCCCCGTTAATATTCCATCCCTCCCTACGCCCACGCACCGGGCCGCCGCATACAGGTCTCGCTGAAAACCCGGCATTGCCCCCTCGCTATCCGTAAACGTGCAGGTATATACGTCGGGAGGGGGGGACGCTATTTCATTCTGTAAAGTGAGCTTGTAGACATCATGGGCCGGAGAGGGCTAATGCGCAACGTTGTCGGGCGAAGTCCCTGCGAACAAGAAGGGCCCCGGGGAGAACAGGAGCGATCAACGCAGGCAGGAGTCGTAAGCCATAGTGGGTCAGGCACGGACATCGCGCTCCTCATCACTATTCACCACTGAGCCAAAATAGTTAGCGAGCGAGCGATGGAGAGAGACTTCCGACTTCAGCCCAACTCGAGCCCACTCGAATCGACTCCCCGAGCCCACAGCGCCACGGACACATTGAGGCGGGATCGCGAATGGGGAACACCAAATGCAATCGTCAACCAGCCCGTGATCCACCATCCAAGCACCGTAGCATCCGAAACCGGGCCGACCATGAGTTCCCACGACCCGGGCAGGGCACTCTGGCCATTCGGAGAGGAGTTATCGTGAGGCGGCTACGGCAGGAAGGGTAGAAAGTTCTCATGATATTCCCCCTCTTTCGACAAAAAGAAAAAAAGAAAAGCCAAGATGGGCCCCTGGTTACACCCACCAAATTCTCCTTAACTACACTTGCTGCCCCAACTTTCTTGTTATTTTCAGCCTCATCTTGCCCAGTCCGATTTCAAACAAACAAACAAACAACAGAAAAGCGCAACCCCCCCCCCTCTGTCTCCTGAAGAACCACCCAACACACCATAACCTCCTGACTAGAGCACAACCCGGCTCCAGAGCGTGATCCATCACTCCCCCCTCCAGCCATCCGATCCCCACTCACAATGCGTCTCCGCAGCCCCTCGCACCCATCGCATCATTGCCCACAGCCAGAATCAGCGAAGGGCTCACCGCCTCCCTGACCCCACCGACTCGAACCCCGAAGCTTCCCGATCCAAACCTTGCAGACGATGACCTCCTAACACCGCTCGCCTGGGCGGCAATTGTCGGGAGGATGGTCACCATAAAGCTGCTCCTAAACCAGAAACACGTTAACCCCGACACGATCGACGCATTCGGCCGAACACCGTTTGCTTGGGCACTACTCCACCACAACGAGGGCGTGGCGAAGCTGCTCATCGAGCGCACCAGCAACCTTCACCCAGTGGATGAATACGGCCGAGGACCGCTCTTGTGGGCCGCTCATGATGGCTACGAAGAAATCGTCGAGATGTTATTATCGAAAGAAGGGGTTCACGTCAACGTCAGCGACAACTGGGATCGCACACCCCTATCCTGGGCGGCTGAGTATGGCTACGAGGGGATTGTCCGACGTTTATTGCTTCAGGAGGGCATCGAGGATGATCTGCCCGACGTTCGAGGCCGGAGTCCGCTCTCCTTGGCCGCCGAATCCGGTCGGGAAACGGTTGTGAAACTCCTGCTCGAGCGGGAGGACGTCAACCCCAACTCTACCGACCGTAAGTACCGCGGAACTCCACTCTACTGGGCTGTCGAAGCCGCCCGGGAGGGCGTCGTGAAACTGCTGCTTGAGCGTGAAGATGTCACGCCTAATACCCCCCAACCATGCCGGTCGCACACCGCTATGCAACGCTCTCACGAGAAACCACGAAGGGGTAGCAAGACTACTGCTGGACCACGGTGCCGTCAATCCCAACATGGCGGAGGCAAACGACCTCGCTTGGACACCGCTCATCTTTGCCGTTTCCAGCGGACGGGAATCCATGGTGAAAAGGCTACTGGAGCGGCCAGACATCGATCCAAACCAGGCAAACTCTGACGGGACAACCCCCCTCGCGGCGGCCTTGGCTTACTGTAACCCCGAGTCCGCCAAGTTACTGATAGCCCGCGACGACGTGGATCCTAACCGCGCCAATAAACACGGTCAGGCTCCCTTGCATTGTGCGGGCAGACTGGGGCACGAGGAGGTGCTATCGATGCTTCTGGGGAGAAGCGATATCGAGCCTAACCCCGTAAATAGTGAGGGTCTTACGCCGCTGGCTGAGGCTGTGCGGCACGGGCACCTCGGGGCTGTGAAGCTGTTGCTGGGATGCCCGCGCGTCGACCCAAACCTCGGAGACTGCGATGGGCGCTCGCCACTCTCTTTCGCCGCGGAGACTGGCTGTGAGCACATTGTGAGGATGCTGTTGGATAGAGCGGATGTTGATCCGAACCCCATAGAGGGGGATGGACAGACTCCACTCTCTTGGGCTGTTGTTGCCGGTTGGCAGGGCGCGATAGTGGAGATGATTCAACGACGGATTGATGGGCTTGATGCGTGATCACACGTTTCCACATTTGTCCACAACATGTCTCCCATGTCCTTACAGATAGACCCCCAGCCAGGCCCATCCCCCAGACCAATAAACTTATATCCTCCCTTCTTACCTCAACCCCACCAGCACCCCAGGCAACCCCATCAACGCAATAAACTCGTATACTTTCACCAATCCAATACCCAGCGGTGAATGATTAAAAGTCTACTATTGCCTCTCATCGCTTTCGCGGAGGATCGCGGAATACCCACTTTCGAATCGCACGTAGGCATGACACCCAGTAGCACATATACAATACGTACGCACCACCAACGGACCACTATTCCGGGGGGCAGTCGAGTAAGGGTGGGAATATCCAGCGGAGGGGGGGGAGACTGGCACGGTAGTTGTCGGTTGGCGTTACTATAGAACATATGACCAATAATGGAGAGAATTCCTTCCCCCTCGCTCCCGAGTTCGTGTGAACGCCACCGGTGCCCGTTGGTTGGATATCCTTGTGGAACCATCCTGGGCGGCCTCCACGAGTGATATTTCATGACGCTCTCCGACATTACCACTCGGACAAGTAGAGATTTAATTCCCTCAGCGATGGCATATCCAACGCGTACAGTACAGTCTGGTCCGTACAGTGGGGGCCAGGTTGTGAAAAAGAAAGAAGGAAGGAAGAGATATATAAAAACTATAATATAATACAAGCGACAAGTTCGGTATTCTAAACGCTGTACTTTTGTGGAAATTGCTGCCCCTCCCCCTTCCTCCCCCTTTCTCGCCATCTTTATACACACCAGTCAGTCAGTCAGTCCACACCAAACCCAATGAACCGACAAAAAAAATAGTAGATAAAAAGAGCTGTAATTTTTCTGCCTCGTAAAAACGCCCAGAGCAAAAATAAAATAAAAAAAACAACACGGCCTTCCCTAAACCTCAAGCCCGGGAGCCTCCACCACCACCCCCGTAAATTCAACCCAGACATAGCGCTCAGAGAGCCTAACATCGCAAATCTTGACGCTGGCCACGTCGCCAACCTGGATCTTATCCTCATCGCGCTTATCCGCAAAGCGCATCTTGCCCGCGAGTCCCAACTCGCGGACGAAGCCATTGCACGGCGTAGGCGAGTGATGCTTCTCTATGACCAGGAAGCTGAGCTTCTTTGGGAACGTGTACTTCTCCAGCCCGGTCTCCCAGGCGCGTTTTATAGCCACAGCGGACCAGAGGCGGCTGGCTTCTTTTGAGATATGCCTCGCCGTCTGTTCCGTCCGCTGGACGGAGGCTAACATTGGCTCTAGCTGTGCGCGGGTCTTGGGTGACTGGCCTAGCAGAACCGATTGAATCTGGTATTGCGCGAGCATGTCCGAGTACCGACGTAGCGGGCTGGTGGTTTTGGTGTAACCAGTCGGCAAACCCATGAGCATGTGCGGTCCCGGTCTGGCTTGGAGGCGGGTTTGTCCCAGGAGCATTAGCCAGCGGATTGCCGATTCAAAGGGTGAGCGGCCGAGGTCTGTGCGCCGTGGTAGCACGGTTTCTTCGATGGCTCGAACGACATCCGGGCGCCGGTAGTCGTACTCCATTACGCGATACGGCATTGCGAGCCCGCGCTCGCGGGACCAGATGGATACGACGTTGTTTGCTAGGGACATCATCTCGGACACCATCAACTGGGAATCCCGATACTCGACGTCCATTGGGTCGGCCACTGTCAGGCGCACTGCTGGATGACCGCGATAGAGGACAGGGTAGTTGGAGTTGTAAGGATGGTTTTGGGATCCGAGGCCGTTGTCCACCTCTACGCGCAGATTCATGGGCGAAGCTGCGATCAATCCGTCTCTGGTTCTGCGACGGCGCACCGCGAGGGCTATCTCCCGGAGCTTCTGTAAATCGCGGCGCTGCTGGGGAGTAAACCCATTTACCCCCGGCGCGACTCCCTGGCTCTCTGGGAGCTTGCCGATCCTTAGGTCCACTTTGAATTCGGTAGTTCTGTAGCTACCCAATGCGCGGTCTACAGCGTCATAGGTTGTCCTTCGCACGTTCCGGACGAAGCCTGCATGGATTTTGTAGTCGAGAATCTCGCCGTTGTCGTTGACTTTTATGCTTACGGACATTACTGGTTTGTTCGGCGCTACGCCCAAGAATACACCGGTGATTGCCCCTGGAAGCATGCTGTAAACCTTATCCGGGAGGTAATGTGATGTGGCTCTCCGCTTGGCAATCTCAGTGATCCAGTGGTCTTCCGGTATGAATGCCGCGGGATTTGCGATGTGGACGTGCACCCAATTCTCAGTACCGGATACCCTTTGCAGTGAAACGCCATCGTCAATCTCGTGTGCGTCAGGGTCATCGATTGTGAACACTTCCATGTCTCCCCAGTCTTTCCGAACAGTATGCATGGCATCCGTGAACCCTAACCCCTCGATTGCGTCTTTCTGACTCAAAATCTGGAGCTTATTCTCGTCCTCGTCTCCAAGCTCGGACCTACCCAGTCCCGGAAGATCCAAGTCGGACTGATGCAAACTGGTATTCTCCCACTTACTCCAGGCACCTATCTCCCTCAAAAAGGTATCCGCCGCAAGCGCATCCAGAACTTCACCATATCTATTCGTAGCTCTCAGGATCACTGGGGCGAGTCCATCAATGGGGGTCTTTTGCAGACCGTATTTGAGAACCCTAGCCTTCACATACTCGATGAAAAACTTGTCATTCTCATCCCATTTGAGTTCTTCAATCTCCTCCGTCTCAACCAACGGCGCACCCTTCTTCCTGCCAACTAGGACCTCTTTCTCGTACTCCCGGCTTAGGTCGATCAAGTAGTTGGCCTTCTCAATAAATTTGGCCATGATTCTCCGTCCAGTGTCCTCTGCTGGCTTTCGGCTAGATTCATCGCTAGCCTGTTGCTCGTCGGCGGTCTTCCTGATCAACTTTGTCACGGAGTCAATCATTCTAATATCCTTCTTGCTCCGAACCCTGAAGACGTTCGTGGCCCTGTGCATACCCCTGTCTCCCATGAAGTGCAACCCATCGCCCATGAGGGCTGTGTGCGCAGCGTAAAGCATCGCGTTGTAATTGGGATCCTTGTTACAGCCCACGCCAAAGGCCAGCTCCGTCGCTTCGTATAAGGTGATCTTTCGCTCTTCTGTCTCGTCAGCCCATTTTGTATAAAGCCCGTCAAAAGCAGGCCGGTGTGCCGCGTAGAGCCTCGCTGCCGCCGCCCCGAATCGGCGGACTGGGTCCAGTATGTCTTCCGTGACACTTCTGGGAGCGGCGATATCACCGGGGTCTGACTCCGACCCGTTAATTTCACTCATCTTCCTGATCATCTGGCCGTAGTACGTGATAAAACCCTCGACCCTAGCCCTTGGGACAAATTCCGAGACGGAAAAGGTGATTCGGGGGAGGTGGCGTTGGACAATGTTCCCGCTTGTCATTAAAAAGTCAGCGGTTGGCTCACCGCCGGGCGTAGGTCTGAGATAAAGTCCCAATTCCGCTTGGTTCCCGCTCCTGGACGACCTATCAGCACTCGCGCACCCGGGAGAAGGGTTTGAAGGGTTTGGGATCGACCGTACTCACCGAACCTCACTTAGATCTCCAATCTCCAGCGGCTTCGCTGCGCTTGCGTCTAAGAGTTCTGACATATCCCCGAGGCCCTCCCAATTATGTCCAAGAATATCATCCGTTGAATCCACACTTGGAACCACTTCGGCTGAGAGATCTTTCATTGCGATATTAGGGCTAATCCCCTCCAGAGCATCCTTTCTGAGCTTTTCCTTCTCTTCAAATCTCTCCCTTATCGAGCGAGTCTTTTTCCCGGAATTTCGAGGCAGCCCCATAGGCACGCCAGGCATAGAACTGCTGGGTGGTCGAGGGGCAATCGTGGAATATCGCCGTGCACCACCAAAGCGTAGAACTTTATAAGGCGGAAAGGGGTGCGTTGGCGGGGTTCCGAACCAGACTCTCCGGATGGTCAATCGCCGGAGCGGGCTTACTCGCAAACACTCGATGGCCAGGAAGATCGCCCTCTCCTGCTGTTGGACTATCTTTTCTACCACTTGGACCCGAGCGTAGTGCCTCGAAGCATGCTTATCCTTCCCGTAGAAGGGGACGCCAGGGCCTTCACCACTTCCCTCTAATGGTGCGTTGGATAGCAACTCTGTGTTTCGACGGATCCTATCCAGAATTTTCTCATATGCCTCTAACGCAAGCTCGGTTAGGCTCCGTTTCCGCCTTATAAGGTGTCTCACCCCCATTTCCGCCAAACCAAGGAACGAACCAAAGCTCTGGTATATCTTTTCAAGGACCTGAACCCGGGGCAGATGGTATGTCCGGTTGATCGCCGAGTACTCGACAATATCCTGATCCCTCGGAGTATCCAGATAGGTTTTTATGTTGGAATCATTCCGGTCCGAGGAGAGAAGAGCATTTCTCAACATAAAATTTGCAAAACCCCATGTCTGTCCAGGCCGTTTGCTCTTATCGTCCAGTCCGCGAACAGAGATATAATCAATATACTTCTCTAGCTGAAAGATCACCTTCTGTCCCATGTCGGTCACTTCTCTCAGCGCGTCCATTCGAGACAGTACGCACTCCGGGCCCCTCGAAGCCTCGAAAAGGATACCGCCGCTCTCTAGGGATTCTATGATCCGTTTAACGTTGCGGGAATACCGCAGAGAGTCAACAGTGTCCTTGAGGACAAGCGAATTCCTCACATACGAACGCCGAGTCTCCCTCACCAAGCTCTGCACAAATTCCAGTTCTGGAGTAGGACGCCCCCCCAAGCCCTCTTGCGCATACCAATAATTGTATATCTCCCTCGTTGTCAATTTGGTCATCTCGATACCCAACTCTATAGCGAACGGCGATTCCTGTTCCATAGTCCGCTTGTGCCCGCGCTTCCAAAAGTTCCATTCCCTAACTAGGTACTCTGGGCTAATGTACACCATGCGGCCCATGGTAGCCCCCAATGCCCGGGGGACCTCAACTTTCATCAATAGACCGTCCAGCTTAGCACGGGTAGGATCAACATCCTTCTCAACCATGGAAACCGGTATTCGGTAGACTCGCGAGACCTTTGCAAGGCCTTCGGTCGTGACTCTTCGAATACGGAAATTACTCTGCCACCGCTCCCACTCTGCCGAAGGCTCGCCGGACTCAAGATCAGTATTTCGTCTACGAATAGTAGGTCCACCACGGGAAAGGACTGGCCGGAAAATGCTAATCCGGGAACGGTGATCAATGAAAACCTTTTTCAACCTTAGTCCCCCATCCGTATCCTCGGAAAAAGCATCTCCCCCCGGCTCCCCCGTCGCCTCTTCTGGGGGTGTCGAACCCAGGCCCCAGTCCGGTTGAGGATCCTCCGGCGTCTCGTCAAACGCACTGGTCACATCTGAAAGCAACGGTAATGGTTTTGACTCTGGGGTATCGGAGGTAAGTGTGGAATCGGTGGGAGCAGAATTGCGTCTAGAGATTGAATTGGCGAACGCCCTCCTGCTAGACCCCGCTACCAGAACAGGAGCCTGAATTGATCGCCGGAGAAGAGGAACGAGCACTGGCGTCTGCTTGCGGAGGAACTTAGGGAGCGGCATCACCGTCGGGGGCGAAGGGAACAGGCGGTGAATTGGGGCAGCACCAAGAGAAATGGGTGGAGTGAAAAAGTATTTTAAAAATGGGTGTTTTGCGGGGAGTTTCGTTTGGAACCAAACAGTGGAAAAACTTTCGCCAAGACTGCATCCTTTAAACCCTAACCCTTCCCTCGAGGTCAGCGTTGGGGTTAAGGATCCGTTACCGGCAAGTCACTGAGTGCATTATTGACTAGTGCTAGCTTACTAGTATTGGCTCCTCGAGACCTCAAGGAATCCGAAAATTCTGTCTTTCAAGCTACTTACTTTCAAACCTCTAAGCATGTGGGTAAATTTATATCTTGTAGTTTGCTCTTCTTCTCACCCTATCCTCTTCTCCCCTTCTCCCCTCTTTCTCCTCCTCTACCCCCCGGCACTCCCCTCTTCCCTCCCCCACCCCCTTCCACCCAGCTGGCTAAGATTCTTGCTAGGAGGTAGGTTTTAGGAGGTGCGAGAGAGATCAGACCGGATAGATGATCAGATGATCAGATCTTATTCTCGAAGTCCCCTATTTCAATACATGTTAGAAGATGATAAGAAGTGATTAAGAGAAACTCGGCAAGTGAGATGTGGGAGAAACGGTTTCTCGAAAATAATAGCTACTATTTTACAATTCAGTGCGTCCCCACAGCGCACCAAGCCCCAACCCAGAATCACAACCCATGACAGTTCTCATAACCCGTATCCATAATCTTTCACCACATATCACCAGAAAGAGGGAGGGGGGGGGGGGGGGATGAACGGCAATACCCAATATATACGAAAGAAAGGAGATAAAAGCCAACCAAAACACCGCCGGCGTGAATGCACTAAGAAAAAAAAAGAAAAGCGAGAGAGAAAGAGAGAACTAAAGCAAGTATTCGAATCAATTATAATATCCTTCCGGAAACTTCGGCAACTTCTCTATATCCTCGCCAACATCCAAGTGATGTACCGGCTGTCCAGTCGAGCGGTCTGAGCGAACGCCGTAGCGTACGGAGTTTGGGAAGGTCTGCGAGATCTCGAAGCCCGTGGAGGTGGAGCCAGAGTTCCCAAGGCGCTCGACGAGTGCTAGGGCATATTAGCTAGGAGGACGATGCAGGGTTCGTACGGTGGAGGCATACGTCTGAGCAGTCGCGCAGTAGAAAGATAAGAATCATCCTTGCAGATGACAGAATTCGCGGAGCAAAGGACGAATAACCCGCACGCGACCTGTGCACCGAGAATACAGCCCAAAGTCAAGCTCTGCATCGCTCGGGCAAATTCGTCAGAATCCAAGAAAAACGCCCATTCATTCCGGGACTAGGCAAACAAACCACGTAGAGCCAATTCACAGACAAACTGACCCCAGGCCTCGACTGCAAACCCATCGCCTCGACCGACGGTCCATACATATCGTAGGCGGCAATGACCCCGGTAGCATACATCCCCAGAAGCCGTTCGGCAAGCTGAGTCGAGTTTCTCATCCGGGTTCCCCAGGTTGAGGCGCTCGTGTAACGAACGAACTGGCGTGAAGATTGGTCAATATATCCGTCGAGGCCGATGGCGCCAGCAGCCATCTCAGCGGTCAGGTTAGGCATGCTGTGGTAGGGCTGGAGGGGGTCCGCGTTCCGCACTTGGGAGACGGTTACGGTGCAGTTGAAGAAGGAGCCGGTATCGGAAGGAGGGTCCCATGTTTCATCCACCCACTGGAATATGTAGATGCGACTGCACCGCGGGCCACAAAGATTTACGAAGCCGTATTCCTCAGGATTTACGTAGGTTCTAGAAAGATCAGACGTCAACCTTAGCACAGCGAGTTAAGGAAGATACTACCAACGTTCCAGCGGCACCCCAGTCCTGAATCAGTCCAGATTCGCGGGTTAGCCCATGCTAGCCACGGAATGGGCAGGGGGAACGAACCTGCATCCAATCAATAGTCACATTTCTGTCCTCCATGGCTATTGTCACGTTGGAATCGAACACACCGGCGTACTGCCCCTCTACAATCGGGTAGTATATGCAATGCGGCGTGACAGTCACCGAGCGGTCCGTCTTTGTGGTTAATATAACAGCTCGCTCCGACTTCTGCACCCAATAGGTCTCCCGGAACTACAGCCCCAAAATGGCTCGAATAAGCACGAAACCCAACCAATTTCGAAAGAAGTTTGGTTCCCACATGGTAGCTCCACTCCGTTCCATCCTCCCCCCCCAGCAGCTCTAGGTAAGTATAATCATCGTCGTAATCGGGTGTGCCAGGTACCCCCCAGGGAAAATACGTCGCAACTGAATCACATCCGTCAGCTTGAGCGGTAGGATAAAGCCCCTTGCGATAGGATAGATTCTTACTATCCCCATATAAATGAGCCGTAGACTCCTGCACGCTTAATGATGGTGGCTGGGGATCATCATAATAAGCTGGATAAATTTTGGACATATCCGTGATGTTAACAGGGCCATCGGTCAACAGTACGATGCCTTCGCTCTCCATATTGTAAGATAGACCCAACAAGGCCACTCCTATTTGCACCGCCTAACGGCAATCAGTCCAAGCTACAGGCGAGTAAGGGGGGGGGGGGGGGGAGTGGTTCATTGCATACAATTCCTAGCAGTATCCAAGCGAAGCAAGCAAGGCATAGGAACGCTCGTCCGACAGAAATACGCATTAATTCTAAAACTTTTTGGAAGCTGGAAAGATGGAGGATGAGGTCGACCTGAGGTTTAAAGTTAAATATGCATAGCAATAACACCAGAGTCTAGATGTCATCAGCCAACCTCTCTAAGCCTATACCTCCCCCCAGCCAAGATTTTCCACCTCATCACGCCGGCCATAGCTTTGAACGACGACTATGCAAAAGCTCACCCATGTCAGTCCCACTCCACCAGTTCGGAAAAGGGACCCAACGTCCTCTCCAGGGAAAAACTAACAATTATATTCATACTTAAAATCAGCGAGAGGCCAACATATATCGCATTAAACACTCTCTTCTCGGTCCTCGAGAGGACCCTCTTGTCATGGTAAAATCTAAAGGCGACGATCAGGCCCGCACATGCTGCCAAACTAATAATAAGCCTTGCGGTAATCTGGGCCAGCAGCCTCCACCTCTGGTTCGAAGCGCGGTAGTTCCTTCCCAGCCCGTGCTGGAGCCCCCTCGACAGGGAGGAGTACCTCGTTTGCAAGCCATCGGGAGTGAAGCCGCCGCCGGGACTGGGCACCATTTCGTGGGACTCCCGGCTCCCGGCGAAAGAGGGCGTGGGGGGGGCATTGTAGGTGTAGTCATGGCTATAGTGCGAGTGGCCCGTAGTCCGGCCTTCGTGGGGATCATGAGATGCAAGTGGGCTGAAATAGGCGGTTTGTTCGGGGTTTGGCAGGTTGAAGTACGCCATGATAATACGACGCGTGAAGAGGGACGATATACCAACACTCAATTCCCACAAGGAAGTGGGGGGGGGGCAATGAAAAGTAAAAGAAAGAAGAGGGGAGAGCAGACCAAATACCTTAAGACTCAAAAG